GGTAGGTGAGCACGGTATTAGGATATACGGTTATTCGGGTCCGTCATTTTGTAAGCTTGTATAACGGCAGTAGATGCTGCAGAGGCTCGTAGATCGGACACTTATGGCGGTGAGGAGGAGGAGGTAGCACTACCCTAGAGGGTTTAACTTTCGGGGATGGTAGCCTATCTGTATCTGTGGGGTGCGTCATCTTCGTTGAGAGTATCCATTTGGCGAGATGTTTTTGTCTCTATGCTGTGATCTTGGAGTGAAGATATTCACACCGGCAACTACTTGTGTTAGTCTGGGTGAATCTTCGCTGGTTTTTCAAACATTATCCCAACACTGTTGATTGGCAAGAACATAACTCGATAAGAAGTGTGTTGTGGCTTAGTTGATATCTAGGAGCATAGACCAGCGTAGTGCAGTCATTTTCGTTATATTGAAGATTTATCAGCTCTATTATAAGCCGTTTATCAAAGTACATCTATAAAGCATGTGAACGGTATGGTGATGTTCTTTCAGTGGTCGTTGCTTCCTGGTGATCGTGATGGCCATCGATTGGCTTTACCCCCGTGCTTTCCTCCAGAGTGTCAGCTCCTGCTACCTTCCGTTGTAGAGCTACTCCATCAGTGAGAGTCGTGCTTCGCTCCGTTCAAAATATGTATTTTTTGTTGTTTTTCAGGAAGCTATATCACGACAGATCTGCCGTGAGTAGCGAGACAGCGGTGTATCTGTTGAAGGTGTGGGTGATGCTCTTGCAGCCGTGGGGAGCTGGTGAGCTCTTGGACCTAGTTCGGGCATGAAAAAAATCTTTCCATGACTAAGGTGCTTGGATCGGTACCTCATCGACTGTCGACGTGGACGTGTGGCCGTACTATGTGATGGCTATGCAATGTTTGCTGCGAAATCCTTATTCGTTGCAACCGTTACCATTGTAAGCAGCTGGTACTACTGTTTCTGTCTGTGAGGGTGTATCGGGCAGGTACTACCCATTGATGGAGATAGCGTTCAAACACCCCGCAGTGAGCGGCACTTGTGAGGATATGTTGGTCGAAGGCGAAGATGATAGAAAATTCTTCAACTCGACTGAGATTTACAGCTTCGTGAGTGGCTTGTGCGACGGCTGTACGCAGGGAAATCATTATCCTAGGTTCACATGTTGGTCGTCCTTTTTGAATGCATTGTTAATGATCGGCTCATGTCGGAAGTAGCGATGAATTCCCTACCCCAGCAGGGAGGAGGCAACGCTGTCTTCGCTAGCCCTAATACTCTTGCTAAGTCATTCGTGGACGAAGTACGTCTGTGATGAAGTTGCTGACATTTGAGTGCCTCCTGTAGGTTTATCCGGCCTACCGTGCATTGCTTAGAAGTGGATCGTTCGTGCCTGACTTCAAACACGATATTAAGCGAATATCACTTGCAATGAAGGTAGGTGCCAGTCTCTATTAGATGTGCATGTTTGCGCAGGTCTCTTCTTTCTGGGGACGGACGATTCTTGTTACTGGTCGTCAAAGTGCGGCGTCGGCTACGGCAAAAAAAGGCGGAGCGGAGGTAACTTCATCAGCACATTATGTTCCGCAGCTGTTGCTGAAACAGAATAACTTGATTATATATCATGTTTTCGTTTTTTGGAACTCGCTGTCCTTGATTGTTTCCCCGAAGAACACATCAGACTCAAGTCCATCAAGCTTGCTGTATCATTTTCTCTGTAAAAACCTATTTCTGATGGATCTGAATTAGGTTGCCCTGTGAGATTGGCAGGCATCATTGCTGCTGTGTTCAGGAGTCGAAGTTGACTCGTCTGAAAGGCATGGTCGAGCACGCCCTCTTTGCTGAAGACAGCAGGGCCGACCAGCCACTGCCGAGTCTGCCTGCAATCTCCTCGGTTACACCGCCGAAGCGAATTTGTAAGGTTGTCATTTTTTGTAGAAGTTGATGAGGATTTTTGGTCAGCGTTTGAGGATTCCCCACCTGCTGGTAGAATGGAAGCAGCAGAGATCACCAACCCCTTGCCACAGAGTCGGGTAACTGACGTCAGCTACAATCGTCCATTGAAGTGAGTGGGACCATCAACCTTGTTCCAAGTCCATGCTCAGGTACCGAGGCTCTCGGTGGAGTCGGCCGGTCGCTAGGATCGAATTTGAATGCCTCTTGGGGCCTTGTAAGAACATGGCTCGGAACATTGGACGAGTGTTGGGACTAGACCCTGTTGCTACTAGTGATGGGCGAACTGAACCATACATAGAGTGGACGAGGTGGGTCGACTTGATGACAGACAGTATTTCATTTAGTGTGTCAGGTCCCTTTGTAGCGCCCGTGTACTATTCTGGTTAATGGTTTCCTTGTGGCTAATTGTGTCGAATGCAGTAACTGACTCGTTCATTGCATGGGTCGGCCCTGGTACATTATGTCTTCGTTGTTTATGGATACTACTGTTAATGATTGTAGCCTACCGATATTGGACGGCTCCCTGACTGGTTTCTAATGCTTTTGCTCAAGCAGTTGCGTAATGAGGTTAGGAAGGAAATTGGAGCGGCTAATAGCCGCCGGCTATGATA